TCTCCAATTATAAAGAAGGGCATCCTTATAATCCTTGCCTCACATTAGTGAAATTGTTCCAAATATACTACGCTGCATTGTTTTTTCCCCTACCGAATTTTCCACATAAATATCTTGTGATTGCTATGTGTTGCTCTCAGCTTATATTTGGGATATTCATCTAACCCTAATATATTAATCTACTTCTACTGCCATGATTTTTTTGGAACGCCATAGACATCAACGCCAATCTTAAAGAGCTCCAACCAAGATTGATGGTGTCTAGGTCAAATCATCATTACCATCAATCATAATACATTTGAGTTTGATCTGACAATTCATTGCTATAAGGACATGATGGCCAAATAATATTCATAATGTGGATTAATTCATAACCCTCCAATCCATCAAAAGAATAAACCTCTCTTGGCTAAGGTGCATTTTTTCCTACACGAGTTTCATAGGAGACATTGCTCACACCCGCATATTTTTTTTTAAAGGAATGACCGAAGGCTATTAGACGAGCCCCGCCCATCCCTAGGCGTGCTAAATATTCGAGTACCGCATTTGTTTGTCCAACCAAAACACCATATACCAAAGGTTTGATCCGTTTAAGTAATTGTTAAGTTGAATGATCATTTGATGAGTTCAAGTACAAAAACAATATCCACCAAAAGCTTGTAAATACCCTCCTTAAGGTTTGAGTTACAGGAGTTTATTAGTTAATCGCCATTAATAACTTGCTAAAACTACTTCAAAGTTTTATTTATTCAAGCTCAACTGCTAACTTAAACAATAAAGGCGTCTGTTTTTCTGCTTTGGTGGTATATTTAATTTTATATTCTAAGAATTCATTTTTTATAAAGTCATCATAAATACTTGGCCATTTGCCAAGGGTACTGAAAATTCTTTCACGTAAACAAGTATCTCTAATATTTTGATTTTCATTATCTTTCAATCCAAGAAACTATTTTTTGGCAATTCCAGTAAGTATATTTTCTAAAAAACTATAAGCACCTTCGCCTTTTAAATTATAATGATATACAGCTAAGTTATTTTCTATTACCCATTTATCAATTATTTCATTAATAATTTTGAAACAAACAATATTTAAATAGATACCGTGTCCACTAATGGGTTCAGGTATGCGATTTTGGATCTTTGATCCTGATTGATTTGATCTTGGATTAGGAATATGTTTCATACTTGGTGGTAGATAATGTGCATAAGAAATAGTATTGTGACTTGTACTAGCTTCATTAGAATTAGATTGAATAGACATTCCTATTATTTGATTATTAGACGGAGTAGGAGTACTGATTGAAGAATAATTAATGAAGTAATCCTGAATTGGTGTTTTGTTAGAACATTAATTAAATCTTTTATTTCATTTTCAGTTGGAGAAAGTTCTACTGAAATGATTTCATTATTACAAATAGCTCCTTGGATATTTTCTTGAGAACTATGCTTAGTTTGATTCATCCAGCCAAGAATATCTAGATGAGAGGAAAATTATTTTACGTTGAAGCATTCGGCAAGAATAGCTGTGGTAGCTATATTACTATTTAAAATTTGTTGATTTTGAATTAGTAATAAGCCTAATTCATGTATATTAGAAGTGCTTTTTGTGTGCGCTAATTTTTTATATCTGAATTGGATTATAATTTTATAGAATTTAATTTTTTCTAATTGACTTTGATTTAACTCCATAAATTAACAAGTTGGTCATTAAATATATTTTCAGAATGTAATCCTAATTCAAGTTGCTTTAAGATCATATAGCTAATTATAATCCATTCATTAGAATTTCCTTAGGGAGATATAAATGAAAATTTTGCTCTTTTGTAAAGAATTCTAATTGTTTATTTTTTATATTTATTTGTAATAATTCACAGATTCTGTTAAATTCTTGTTCTAGATAAGAGTTTATTAAGCATCAAGTTTATCGAATATATCTACCCTAAGTTTATCTAAAAGCAAACATCTTTTTAATTTTTTTTTTGTTAATTGAAATTCATAAGAGCAAAAAGAACTATAAGACCATGAAGGTGTGTTGAAACAATTAATATGTTTCAGACATTCATATGTTTTAATCTGTTGATCATCCGACTTTGATGCCATTTTTTTGTGTCTTCAATGTCTTAGATTTGTTATTACCTATTTTTTTTATTTGTTCTTCGATATTTTCAATATTTGTTTATATGTTTTTAATTTCTAAATCTAATCTTTTTTATATTATATTATCTTCTATTTTTAACAAATTTTTTACTCTTTTATCTTCTGTATACTATAAAATACTCGGGTCCATCATGCTTCCTACTAAGAGCTTATCCAAATATTTTCTTACATTATTTCTGTCTATTATAGGGTTTGATCTCAACATCTCCAATTCATATTATATTCTTCTTCGTGGATTTCTAGAGAAAATACAGGCTTGACAAATGATCAATCTCAGATCATCAACATACCACAATCATATATAATTATTTCATAGATGCGAAACATAGCTTTCAGTCATTTTCTACACTAAGCTTAGCTAAAAGAGATAGAAACAAAATATTATTATAAGAAAACGATAAGAACAAAATATAACCTTACATACTTTACAATATACTCACAGACATCTGACCGAGAAAACTTTATTTAGCCTCTATGGCTGGTAAACATATTTTGATTGTACAAGAGGAGGAAGAAGAGAAGTAACTAATTTTCACTCTGTCCCTGTCTTCAGAGAATGGAGCATTAAATAGGCCGAGAAAGCTCAGTAGTCGTTAGGACTGAGAATATCTTCAATAATTTGCTTCTGCATACGTGGTCAATAATTCAACTGTTGGAGAATAAAGTCAGAAATAATTAAGTCGGCGGAGCATTATTGATGTACGATTAGATCCTTCTAGATAATTGTTTTGTTTTACAAGCTGGTGGGGAGTACGTACTTGTAAAAAAGGTTCTTTTTGGATAATTATTTTGTTTTACACTTGTTTTCTTTACATCCCACTATTTCTGGTTTCAATCTTGTCTCGTACTCCTTGTAGAGTATCCCGTTTCTGGCAAAACATAAATTTATGTTATTTTTTATTTTTGTAATTTCTGACAAAATAATTCATTTACTTCTTTGCTGGCTACCACAACATTTCTGTTGAGAATGAAGACCCATTTTTTTATACATGACTTCATATAACTTGCGCGTCTGCTGCTTGCAATGACTATCTATGAATAAATGTTCCAAATAGACCCAAATGTTGGTTGAATCTAGTTTTTAGTTTCATTCCATATTTGGTATGAATCATCAATTTTATATCTCTGAGATAATATTTCTATCGGTTTATATTTGAGAGTATATGAATCACTCCTAATTACAAGCTATATAAATGAGATAATTCTTTCCCGTGGTTCGGGATAAGTTTGATATGATTTCATATATACATATTCCAGTATTTGCGACCATGTAGGATGATTCTACGACATCAACAACTAGTTTTGATAATTTTTTTAGAAGATTTTCATCTTCTAGATAAATCATGCGTACTAAGCCCCATTTATATAATTCAGAAATAAATTTAGAATCTGTATTTCCATATATACAGACGACTTGGAATTTTCTAGCCGTGTGAAAATAAATCTGAGAGTTAATTCTTTCCTCATATAGAGATAATTGTTGTCATTCATCACTATTTTTGTAATACTCTTGACAGAGTTAATTGATGTATTTTGCAATACATTGGCAAACAAATGTATTTTATTTGAAGAAGTGGGTACTTGTTTTGTAATTTTGAGATCGGTAAAATCTCGTAATTCGTTAATTAAAGAGGTTGATGCCTCCTTTGTAATTGAAGAAGTGGATGCCACTTTTATATTTCTGAGACATGCAAAATCTCGTATTTTTAGTAATTTAGTAATTGAGGGTAATTTGTCTTCATGGATTTCTCAATTCAGAAAATTCTTTACTTTTACTAATTCTTTAAGAATGTGATTGCCGCAGACAATTTCGAATTCTAATTTCCATAATTTTAATTCAAGAATTTCTAAATAATTGTTCAAGTCTGAGAGAGACTTGTCGCCGGCTTCACCGGCTATGTCATGAATTTCCATATTTTCAATGTCTGTATTTACTTCCTGCATAATTTACGTGTCAAAATGTCAGCAAGATCATTTTTATTTTTCTCAATATATTTTATATCAAAATTATATGCAGAAAACTAATTTTGTCATGTTATTAATCTTTTATTGGGTAAAAAATCAACGATTTTTTCTTTTATAAATAAGTAATTGTTTTATTATTTGTTCTAATAAAAAATGTTTCATTTAAAAATATCTCAAAATTTTTAATTGCTTTTTTGATTGCTAATAATTTTTTTTCGTTAATATGATAGATCTGCTCGGTTGTTGTATGCGTACCTGAGTTATATCTGCACAAAAGCTCGGTAGAATCTCGTCGAGCTTTAAATATGGCTCCTAATGCTAATGCAGACCTGTCAGTTTTTATAATTAAATAATCACTATGAATAGGTAAATATAATTTTAGAAGAGTTTTACGCAAGTCTTTAATCTACTGTGAAACTTTTTGATCTTTTTTATCCCAAAGACCAAACTATATTTTTTCGTAATTTCTTTGTAACGAGGCTTGTAAATCAGTGAGGTTTTTGATAAATGTATCAGCGTAATTGATACATGCTAAAAAATATTGTAAATCTTTTTGATCAATTTCAGCTATATCAAATACGTTGAACATAAACCTTCAAAACAAACAACATATTAAGGTGTTACACTCTAGAACAAATTCAAATACAATAGCTATAACCCTTCAAAAATCAAATGATTAAACTTTATCTATATCAAGCAATGTGGCCTAAGATAATTGACATACATCGTAAATATCAGGATCACATTGTATACAACATCATGTCTAAAAGCATTACGTGTTAATAAAGCTGATTAGTCACATGTAGCTTTGAACTTTTAGACTACATTTTAAAACCACTCAAGGTATAAAATGATGAGCGTTTGCGAAAAATACATACCTATGTTGCCAGAGGTTGGTGACACGGGCAGAGCAGGCAAAGACATCTCTGCAAAATTCATATGCCATGAAAATATATCACTCCCAATATGTAAATACTTTACAAAGTATCATCCCAACTGTACATAAGGATTTGAGGGGATTGGCTCTCTAATCAACGAAATATATATACCAAGATTAACTCACCAGGTGCACAAAAGGAGATGGATGAAAAGTAAGACGATGAAGGCCATGGGGCAGCAATGTTATCACTCAAGTCACAAGTGAAACTAACCCCTGTGGTGTTGTCAAATATAACATCTGCTGGCAAACTCCGAAGCAGACACCCTATACAATGATCAAATATGCATTAGATGACTACAAATTCAATCAATATGAATGAAAGAGTAAACAAGTTTGTAGCAATAACAAAAGAAAATGCATTACACACCTTGTTGTCCATAGGCTAAACCAGTAGAAAGACCCAAAAAGAAAAACAAAAAAAAACCCAAAAGAAAAACCAATTAGTTGTTTAAAGAATAAAAAATTCATATGATTAGCAGCAAGAACAAACCGATGGATAGTAACATACCTTGGAGACTGAAGTCCTTTAAGTCGACATCACAAAGCTCATAAATGTTTGTCATAACCCCTCCTTTTTGCAACATGGACCCGAAAAATGCTGCACAATTGATGGCCTGTTTATTTGTTATAAGCATTTGTTTCTGTAACTGTCCAATATAAGCATTTAACGAAGCGCAGCAGAGTGGATTTGGAGATGCCAGATCCCTACATTGCTTAATTACATTGGAGGGTTCTTCAAACTTCAATGGGCAATCTGCAGAGTAAAAGAGACATAGACATAAACAGTAAAAAGTTATTGACCCGAATAAAAAGAGAAAAAAAATTCATGCCGTAACACTGCATTCATATTTCACTCAAGTAATTGGATTATCCAATAATAAGCAGATAATCCAGATATAAGATCATCTTGATCACTTGATGTAAATCACCCAGAGTTGTCTATTAAAGCAGGAAACTGGATGAAAAACAAAGTGTAAGAAAACACAAATTCCACCGCTGAAAAAAAAAAAACCAGAAAAAATCAGGATGTCGCTCGCTTGAGACTAGCACAGTTTTTATGGAAAAAGACCTTTGAAGATATCCACAAATCCTGGATATGGCACACTTAAACCGATTAGAATAACAAGTCAGATTGTTTGCCTCCTTTTGCATTCAATTGTATATTCAAGAAGATAATCCCATTGATCTCATTAGTTCTCAAACCAATAGAACATTAAAATGTGCAATGAAAAATATTATTATGAGTTTTGAAAAGCTCAACATTTGGTTTATATTAGAAGATGAATTTCTCAAGAGGTAGATTAGATGATTATTTCACCTTCATTAAAGGTTTTACATTCTTGGCTTGAGGCTTCTCCTGGGTGCACTCAAGCCACCAATCACCACAGGATTTGCACAAAGCTTGCTCCCCCCTTGTTGCCTTAACTTGTGAGTTAAGAGGTCAGGGGCTAGGGCATCAGCCATCCTATCACAACCAGACCCGGGACTTGAAATTAATTAAGGCGGGTGCAAATGATGGATGGTGAAAATTAAAATTTTTTATACTCATTTTCTATAACTAATATTTAACAAATGAAAGAGCCACTAAAGAAAAGAAAATTAAACTAAAACATTTAAAAATTTATCTCAGGTTATGTTGTCTGCATCTTCTATAAACATTTTCTCTTCTATCGCTCATTTTTTTTAAATAATTAAACCTGTAATATTAATTTAAAATAATGAGTTAATAGGTCAGTGAATACTCATACTTCTAAACTATAATAACCTAATGAAAAAAAAATAGTATGCATGTCAATTAAACTTATATAAAATCAATGTAAAAGCATATGAAAGTTTGTCTAATCTAATATGATCATTCAAGGTAATTCTAAACATTCACTGCCTTACTGTATTGTTTACATATCAATATCAATTTAATCTGTATATACTTGTCACAGAAGCATCATAAAAACTTGTCAATTATGACACATTAATATCAATATCATTTTTTATTTACGTACATGGATACTTTAACGTTCTCTTATTAGTACCATAAAAGAGTGAACTCTATAGCCAAACATGCACATATACACAATATATGTAGTTCATAACATTCATATATGTATTTCATTGAATTTAATATATTTGGTACACATAATGCATAATAGCAATTGTCGTTGAAATGAAAAATCATCACAATAATGACCAATAAAAGAAGAGTATATCAATTAGAATTAAACTTTACAATTGAATTTATAAGTAACAGTGACTCAATTTAATTGATTAAGAAGAAACAAAAATGTTACTGCACATCAAATGTAAAAGTACTTACCCACTAGATTTGCAATTATTCCTCAATTTCACCTATGACATCGGCCTCAAACCCTAGTAATAATTCATATAAATAAAACACAACAAAGATAAACATTTTGATATTATTAACTCTCTTTTGTGAATTCACTAATATTCTAAACTTAATATACTTCATAAAAATCTTAACCTTCACATTTCTATTAATTTAGTATTGCACGTACTAATCCCATAACCTTTTATTTTAAGCAAAACCCTAATAAAATATTTTATGAATATGAACGAGAACTTGGAATTTATAAATGAAATGCATAACTAAAATTACCTCATCATAAACAACTTGCCCTAACACCCAAATCTTAGCGTGAACTAGGTAAGCACAACTCTTGACATTGTTATTTCCAGAGCACAATTTCATGTACTAGGTCTACCCTAGCTCTTTCTCATCATTCTTCGGATTGCAACATTTGGAATCAACTCAAGCTCGTGGTCGCTTGTATCTGCTCTTAACATGGGTCATCCTTCTTGCTCGCAATTGAGCCTTCTTGATGTTGAGCCGCTCGAGGATGCAACAAGCTTCAGTCAAAATGAAAGAAAGTACACATGCTCAACTTCATCTCCTTCGCCTAACCTCAAAGACACCCCCTCCCTTCAACTTCAATTGCAAGCTTTGTCGCCCTAATTGGGCTCGTGCCTCGTCTCCGCTGTTCAACGATCACAGACGTTGCTGCCAATCGAAGCTATTTTCTTCGGCTTCGATTGATGCACGAGGAATCCCTAGATAAGCTCATCAATCTTCCTGCCATCGTATGAGTCGATCAACTCCCCAGGTAAGTCGTTCACACTCGAAGTCAGTGTCTACCATGAAGCTTTTCGATCTCATCTCTGCTTCTCTTCGCACGCGTTGATTTACATAATGAATTTGCTCCTTCAGTTATCAACAACTCACTTCGTCTCCCTTTCTTTGACTCCCTCATTCTGCCAACTTTTTTCTCAAGGAGATGAAATGAGATGTTACATATCCTGTCATTTCCTTCCCATCACAGCTGCAAACAATGAGCCATCTTGCCTTCTCCTTCTAAATCTGTACTCTAAAAAACCTAGCCACAAAGCCTTCATCAAGGAGAGGTCTTCTCCTTCCTCTTCTTCGAATAAACAAACACGAACAGTGATTATTCTTCCCCTTTCTCATCTCTTTTACTTTTTCTCTTCTCCTCATGATTCCTCTTAATTCTAAACATAGAACGTACCAAATTTTGTTGGTTTGTTGGTTGACACTTTCTCATTTCACATAAAAAATAATTATGATTTCGAGGTTTTTCTTTTAGCTCATCTTCATTGTCGAGCCCTTATTCTCTAGTAAGCGATGTAATTCTTTTCTTCACAAGAAATTAGACCTTGTTTTAAATAACTTTTATGTAAATTACATGATTGGTTTTATATTGCTACTACCAATTCTATATAAATAATAATTAATTTAGATTAATTTAAAATAATGCATTTCAACGTGATTTAACCTATAATAGCTTACCTTCATTTATTTTTTTAATTATGCTTTTCAATGGAGAATTTACATTGTGTAGGACATTCAAAAGATATTCACTTAGTATTGTCTCATTGGTTTCAGAGTGAACATATTTGTTAGTAGTGTAAACTCAGATAACTATAAATTCCTGAGAAAGAAACATATCATTCTTTGTGAGAAGCATTATCTTAAATATTTGAGAATATTGTGTAGTTTGTCAGTACTAGTGTTGAAATTCTATTACTTGTTATAAATTTATTGTAAATATCTTTATATATTCGTATGAATAGAAATTTAAATGGATGGTTCTCCTTTAACAAATTCTTTATAATGAATTGATTCTTATAATAGCAAGATCTATTTTTCACGCCTGTTACCTTTGTTGAATGTAATAAACCTACAAATTTGATTATGCTATAAAATTAGAAATTAACAGAATGGGCACATAATACCTCTTAAAACTTGCTTAAGAAATTTTGTGCAGCTGTATAACACCTTTGGATATTAGCTAATTAAATCTACAAGCTCACAGAATGAAAACTCTATTAAAAATCATTGCGTCTCCATGAGTTGGAGATATGGGTTTCATCTTTCAGATTTCAAGCACTTGATGTAACCATCTCTCTCTCTCTCCAATATATATATATATATAACTAGCTATAAGTATATAAACATTCCTACAACGAAATGATAAATTACAACAAAGTCATCATTGGAAATGTATGATTATACCTAATTGGATACGTTACAAGAAAATTATATTGTTTGCAATTTATCATACAGATGATCATAACTTCACAATCATATGCATGTTACCTTAGTTGAATGTAATAAACCTACAAATTAGATTATGTTATAAAATAAGTAACTATGAGAAGGGACACATAAGACCTCTTAAAACTTTTTATTGAATACATGGAAATTTTAAGCTTTTGTGCAGTGGTACACTTTTGGAGATTAGCTAATTGAGTCAACAAGTTCACCGAATGAAAACTCTATTAAAAATCATTGTGTTTCCATCTTCCAGATTCCACACGCTTGATGTAACCATCTCTATCTCCTCTCTCTCTCTCTCTCTCTCTCCTCTCTCTGTATATATATAATAATAATAATAATAATAATAATAAATGACTAAACTGAACTTTTAGCCTTGTGCCTAAAATAAATCATCAAATTAATTGGTGGGATGGCGTGGTGGAAAGTGTCGTCAGTGCCGATCTAACATTACTCCCCTCCATTGAACAAAGGAAATTGTTGCTAGATTAAGTCGTACGTCTCCCACATGGTGTCATATTTAATCAACACTTCTTTCCCACTTGTCGACTCCTGGCGCACTCCTCTTAGCTCCAATAGCTCTAAGAGAACTTCCATATCCTTCGTCAAGGTAGGGGACATGAAGAAGAGGACAAGTAATCACCAATAGCACGTCTCAGCTGCGATAAATGAAAAACTAAATGAAGCATCGACAAAGGTGGCAGACGATAAGACAACTCACCAATGCATTGTGATCTCATAAGGCCCAAAATAGCGTATGGATAGCTTCTCAATATTGCATCTGGACAATGTTTTCTACAGATAGGGCCGAAGTTCTAAATATACCCCATCTATTATCGCAAACTGCACAACCCTTCGATGTCCATTAACTTGTTTCTTTATGAGTTGTTGCACTTTCAATAGATGTTTCGACAATATTTTGTCCCTCTTTTCTGAGTACTGATTCACCAAAAAAATCAGTGTAGTACCGTGTCCATAATGCACCAAGTGGTGGATCGTGATCATACAAGATTTCAAAAGTGGTGATCTAAGAAGATAAATAATAGAATGTGTTATACCAATACTCAGCCTAGGATAGTCACTTTGCCCACTGTTTGGTGTGTTGGAAATAAAGCCACGTAAATAAGCCTACACACTCAGATTAACATCTAACTATCCATCATATT